TTTTGTTCTACCTTCCACCATTCAGGGGCCCAGAGAGGTAGTGACTTGCTCCAGGTCACACCGCAAGTCCGTTCAGGCTCTCACCTCTCTTGCAGGGCTCAGGGAGAGAATAGAGGTCCCTGTATGACAGAGTTTGTCACCCATGCTGTGGTAGTATCTTTAGTCCTGCCCTGCCCTATCCCCTGCCCTAGGGAAGAGAGAACAGAGTGGAAAATCTTGGACACTGTTCGCTTAAAGAGTTTATTAGAAAGACTCTGACCCCTCCAGGGGAGGGCAGGGCCTTGGGGTGTACTGCACCTCCTGGATCTGTGGGGCCTGGCCAAGCTTTGGCTTCTGTGGATTGCCCTCCCTGAGGCCCCAACTTGTGTGGCCACTCTCCATGCACACACTCAGCATACATGGCCCCTCCCAGGATTGCCAGGCCACAGCAGAGCACACCACCACAGATGCCCTTCTCACCTCAGTCCCTGCAGATGGCATCTGGGTTGTATCAGGTGTGCTCCTGACACACTTCCGCCTAGGGGCAAATGCCCCCCCAACCCATGCCGTCTGCTCTGCTCACACCGTGAGCCCTGCTCTCTGTGCCTGGGGCTGCTTTCAGATGCCATCATCACAGAAGGCGGGGAAAATTTCAGCCAGGGCCAGCGGCAGCTGTTCTGCCTGGCTCGGGCCTTCGTGAGGAAGACCAGCATTTTCATCATGGATGAGGCCACAGCCTCCATCGACATGGCCACGGTTGGTTCTGGGCATGTCCATGGGGTAGAGACCTTGGAGAGGGTTTTAGTGAGGTGTTAGGGAAAAGTTTGCGCAAAGCAGTCCTGACTTTCAAGTTGCCTTTAACATCAAGGGCTATGTGTGGCCAAAGAGGCCAAGGGCGGGGGGACTCTGACTCCATCTAGTCTTAAAGAAGGTTCACACACACACACACACACACACAGATCCACAAAGACTTCTCACCCCTCACCCACAAAACAGCATCACACTTGCAGCACATGATGTGCTCACAGAACTGAGCTCCAGGAAGCCAAGTCAGCCCCTGAGTGCTGGACACCCAATGAGTCCTGAGAGAACCAGGACCAGAGAGAGGGTGGGGGAGGGTGGCTAGGATTGGAGTCAGATGGGAGCTGGGCCACAAACCTGGGCCCCACATCCCCAAAGCCAGTCCAGACCCCTTCAACTGGGCAGGTGAGCCCTCAAGCTGCTTCTTCCATCTGACAGGAAAACATCCTCCAGAAGGTAGTGATGACAGCCTTTGCAGACCGCACTGTGGTCACCATCGCGGTAAGGGGCCCATTGACAGGCAGGGGCCACCCAGCAGGAGGGCTGGCTACTGGGGCTGTCATTAGTGATCAGCCCCTGGGCTTGGCTGGTCCCCAAGAAAGGACCCTGGAGCAGTTCAGGGCAAGGAGTCTGGAGGGCTGGCAGGGATCCTGGGTTGCAGGATTTGGGGTGAGGGGGATTTGCACCTGCTCTTCCCTCAGACATCCCCTCTTTCTCTCCAGGTTCCAAGGTCCACCCCCCTCCCAAGGTCCTGTGAGCTAGGTTGGGGTTGCTTCTCCATAGGAAGTCAGGGAAGAGAGGTGTTGGTGTGAGGGGCCCCTGAATACTGAAACCTGGATGTGGGAGAGCTGAGACCTGCTGGAGGGGAGAAGGGTGGTATTGAAGGGCTCAGATCACAGTCCCCCTAGACAGGGGCAGTCACCACAGAGATACAACATCGTGGCCACATGCCTCCTTCTCCAAGCTGCAGGAGGGAGCCCTTAGCTGCCCTGACCCTTCCACCCACACCCTGACCAGCCCCCTCCCGCCTGCCCAGCATCGAGTGCACACCATCCTGAGTGCAGACCTGGTGATTGTCCTGAAGCGTGGTGCCATCCTGGAGTTTGACAAGCCAGAAAAGCTGCTCAGCCAGAAGGACAGTGTCTTCGCTTCCTTTGTCCGTGCAGACAAGTGACCTGTCAGACCCCAAGTGCCATCCTATACTCTCACCCTGCCCCCACCCTTGCCTGGGTTTTCTAACTGTAAATCACTTGTAAATAAAGAGATTGATTATTTCCTACTGGGAGCCCCAACTCTGGTGGGCAGAGACTGCAGTGGTCTGTGGGTGCAGGGAATCAGCCTGTCCTTGACACTGGGCAGATTCTGATGTTGCTATGTAAACATGGGCCAAAGCATATTTCCTGATCTGTGAAATGAGGGATGTGTTAGTCAGCTCAGGCTGCCATGACAAAATATCGCAGAGTAGGTAGCTTCAACAACAGGAATTTATTTCTCACAGTTCTGGAAGCTGAAGCCCAAGATCAAGGTATCCGCAGCTTTCGTTTCTCCTTGGCTTGCAGACAGCCATCTTCTCACTGTCCTCGCATGACCTTTCCTCTGTATACACACAGCCCTGTGAATTCTCCTCCCCACCCCCTCTCTCTCCAAGGACAGCAGTCATATTGAGTTAGGGTCCAATCCCTGTGTCTTCATCAAATCTTAATTACCTCCCCGCAGGCCCTAGCTCCAAATACAGTCACATTGGGGGCTAGGTCTGGAGAAGAAAATTCAGTCCATAGCAAGGGAGATAGCATTTTTGTGGAAACCCCGTCGGATAAGGTGACAGGTCTCTTCCTTAGGGTATTTATTCTTGGATTAAAATTGTGGAACCTGGTACCCTGGATTAATACTATTTCCTTTGCCAATAATGGAAACCCAACTCAAAATGGCTTAAACAAAAACATATTTATTGTGGTATGTGACTGTGAAGACCAGGAGGTATACTATTTCAAACACGGTTACTCCAAGTATTTAATGTCAGGGATGTGCCTCCATTTCTGGGTTCCATTTACCTCTTCCTTTCTGATGACAGATGGCTGCTAGCAACCAAAAGGAAAAAAAGATGTTCTTTCCCAGTAGCTCTAGCAAAAATTTTGGGAGCAAATCTCAATGGATAAATTTGGTCACATTCTCATCTTCACCACTGTGGTTGGAGGGCCAGAACATACCTACTGGCTAGGCCTAGATCCCACATCCCCATCTCTGTTCCCCAAAGCAAGGACATTCAGAAGTGGGGAATGGTGGTCCTTCAGAAAGTAAGAACAGTGCAAGTATCACAATTAGCCAGGTGGTGGCTGAGAGTTGCCAGGCCCCAGACCCTGGAGAGACCAAAACAACAGCTTGTCCTAACGTCATCTTCATCAGGAAATAGGAGTGCACACCTGCCCTCAGTCAACAAATGACAGGTGCTAATTTACATATCATTTTATAATAATTTATATATCACCTACAGTACTGGCTTGCCAGGCCCTGAAGTAAAAACCTAGGGTCCTTGGGTTTAACTGCAAGAGGGTCAAAGCCCCTGCCTTAGCGCCAGATAACAGATGACCATGCATGGTCCAAGGGATTCTTCTCTAAGGATATGAGCCCCAGGGAGCAAATGAAGCCATTACTGTTCCAACAACCAACAAGGCAACCTTAGGCTAATATCTACAATAGAAACATGTCCAGACAAAAGCCTGGGACCCCAGTGTCTAAGCTAGCTCTAAAACAACTCAGGTCCAGATACCTCCTATTACTTATATTGAAATAAATCAGGCTACAGACATGGGGAGTGTAAAGCAAGTGCCAGTAGTTCACATCCTCTAAAATGCAGGGTTGGCTGGGGCCTCTTGGGATAGAGAAGATGGAACTTCCCAGGCTTCTGGGGCTACAAAATGAGCATTGTTATGGTAGGTGTTGGACTGTGCTCCCAATCCTATTGAAGTTTTTTTTTTTTTTTTTTGTTTGTTTGTTTGTTTTTGTAATGGGAAAGATTTGGAGTCTTCGGATTCTCAAGGGATCTAAGACTAAGAAAAGGTGGTCCTAGGGGCCTCTGGCTCTGGGATAGTGGCTCCACTTCTCAGTGCCTCCTTTCCCTGGAAACCCAGAGCCTCTCTAGAGGCAGAGATGACCCAACTGCAGATGGGTAAAAGGAGGGAGGGGAATCAGGGCGACAGCGGCTGCTATCCCAGATTAGGACAGATGATGACTCCCTTCGCGCCCTCCAATTTCATAGTGAAATTGGAACCTCATATGATCTGTCAGTCGAATTGGACCGACAAAGCCCCAAGGACAGACTGAGATGGAAGAAGGAGGGGCAGGGTAGGGGGTGGCTAGGGGCGGAGCTTGCGCCTATGCCCGTCCCCTCTCCCGCTCAGAAATAGGTCGGGCTCCCCCTAGCGGCCAGTCCCCAATTCTGCTCCTCGGGCGACCCCCGCCCTTAATCTTGTATCCGCACCTTGCACTGGTCTGTATTCGCGGACCCACAGACCGACAGACTGACAGAAACCCGCCGGCCGCCAGCACTCAGTCAGCGGGAGGGGGCGGGGAGGCGATGGCTGTGGCTTGAGGAGCAGGAGCAGGTGCCGCGGCGACAAGCGGGCGGGGCAGGGACCGCGCGGCGGGCGGGGATCGCGGGGCGGGCGTGCGTGCGGCCGGCCGGCGAGCAGCCGGGAGGCCTCGACTCTGAGCTAGCCCAGCCAGGTAGCGCGGGAGACGAGGGGATCCGGAGTTGAGCCGGGTCGGGTGGTGACTCCGGAGGGCGCAGGATCCCAAGGAGACAGAGAGGACAAGAGCTGGAGAGAGATCCCGGGAGCGGCGGGGGCGATAGGGGAGGAATGGGGTAGGAAAGAGGGCGCATACCTAGAAGAGGCAGTCGGGACGTGAAGCTGGAGCTTGGAGGGGATCTGGGACAGAAATGGGTAGGGCGGCAGAAAAGTGGGGGGTTGTGCGAGGTCTCGCTAGTTGGTAAGATCGGGAGGTGTTAAGTTCTGAGGTGGGTTGAGAAAGGAAGGCTGGGGGACCAGAGGGATGTTAGGAGGAGGCCCAGGTGTGGAGGAGAGCTGTGTGGGGATCCAGGGCCGCCTGGCTGGAGGGCTCACTAGGCAATGGGCAGTGGGCTGAAGGGTGAGGCTGGTGTAAAGAAGTGAGTCAGGATCCAGGTGGAGGTGAAGACGGATCTGGAAGGACAGGCCATCTCAGGTGTGAAGATAGCCCAGGCTGAGGGTAGCCCAAGGTGAGAGGGTGCCTGGGAGACCCTAGGCCAGGTCAGGGCTGTGCCCCCCATGGGGGAAACCCCTCCCTGGGGTCACCGGAGCCATGCTGTCCCGCAAGGGCATCATCCCTGAGGAGTATGTGCTGACACGGCTAGCAGAGGACCCTGCAGAACCTAGGTACCGAGCTCGAGAGCGGAAGGCCCGCTTTGTGTCCAAGAAAGGCAACTGTAATGTGGCCCACAAGAACATCCGGGAGCAGGGCCGCTTCCTGCAGGACGTATTCACCACGCTCGTGGACCTCAAGTGGCCACACACACTGCTCATCTTCACCATGTCCTTCCTGTGCAGCTGGCTGCTCTTCGCTATGGTCTGGTGGCTCATTGCGTTTGCCCACGGTGACCTGGCTTCTGGTGAGGGCACAATAGTGCCCTGTGTCACCAGTATCCACTCCTTTTCATCCGCGTTCCTTTTCTCCATCGAGGTCCAGGTAACCATTGGTTTTGGTGGGCGCATGGTGACAGAGGAATGTCCACTGGCCATCCTGATCCTCATTGTGCAGAACATCGTGGGGCTCATGATCAACGCCATCATGCTGGGCTGCATCTTCATGAAGACTGCGCAGGCGCACCGGCGAGCAGAGACTCTTATCTTCAGCAAGCACGCTGTTATTGCTGTTCGCCATGGCCGCCTTTGTTTCATGCTCCGCGTGGGTGACCTCCGCAAAAGCATGATCATCAGTGCCACCATCCACATGCAGGTGGTGCGTAAGACCACCAGCCCTGAGGGCGAAGTGGTGCCTCTTCACCAGGTGGACATTCCCATGGAGAATGGCGTGGGTGGCAACAGCATCTTCCTGGTGGCGCCGCTCATAATCTACCATGTCATTGATTCCAATAGTCCACTCTACGATCTGGCACCCAGTGACCTGCACCACCACCAGGACCTGGAGATCATTGTCATCCTTGAAGGTGTGGTAGAAACCACGGGCATCACCACCCAAGCCCGCACCTCCTACCTAGCTGATGAGATCCTGTGGGGCCAGCGCTTTGTCCCTATTGTGGCTGAGGAGGACGGCCGCTACTCCGTGGATTACTCCAAGTTTGGCAACACCATTAAAGTGCCGACGCCACTCTGCACAGCCCGCCAGCTTGATGAGGACCGCAGCCTGCTGGATGCCCTGACCCTCGCCTCTACCCGTGGGCCCCTGCGCAAACGCAGTGTGGCCATGGCCAAGGCCAAACCAAGGTTTAGCATCTCTCCAGATGCCCTGACTTAAGTCATGGTCCCTGGGTCCCCACATGTGCATGTGCACACAGGCAGTTTGGTATGGTAGGTACAGTGGATGTGGTGTGGGCCCCTTGGCAAAGTGAAGGCCTGGACCCTCCTCAGCTCAGCCTTCCCTGCTTTGTGCCCAGGGTGTTGCAAGGCACTTGTCACTGCTATTTCTGGCCTCAGCAGGAGCCCGTACTGGGTTATTTTTGTCCCTGTTCCTCCGGCCCAGCTCAGGACTGGCTTATCCCTCTCTCTCTGCCCAAGGGAAGACTGTGGGTGTACTAGGCCCTAAAGCTGGGTCTCCAGCCAGTCCTGGCCCCCATGATCAACCTAATACCAGCAGGCAGGTGGCTGGGGAAATCAATCCCCAGATTGGCAGCCTGCCTTCTGGTTTCTGTGGTCCCCAAAAAATCCCTGTGACCAGGCCTCAGCTCTACTTTGTCCCTGAAAAAGTGATAGGCTAAGGGGTGGGTTCCACCTGCAAAGGAGGGCAGGTAGTGAGAGCACATTGCAGCTCCACGGCTGGAGCTGTGGAACCTACACAGGTGGGGGTAGGCCGAGATGAGCAGAGCTTCTCTCCACTGTCAGGCTTCAGCCCAGGAGGGGGACCCAGCAGGGATAGGGTAACAGAAGAAGGCTTTGCTGAGCCCTGCTTAGGGAGCAGGAGATGGGCCCAGCACCCTGCCCTTCACCCATTTCACCCTCTCTGCAGAGAGGATTCCTTGGGCTGGGGCTGCTGTTCCCATTCTGTCTCCAACCTGGGAGGCTAGAATGGGCTAGGCAGCCAGTGACATGCCAAGCACAGAGAGCTGAGGAAAGAGGTCCTGTGGCTACCACATACAACGGGCCTCAGACTGAACTCTGCTCCTGGCTCCCCAATGGCAGCTGTGACTCACTTTGTCCAGAGGACAACTGGGGGTGGGGGTGCCTTTGAGTTGCTGGAAAAAGTGTTGAAAGTTCCAAATGATAGGGGGTATGAGCTCCCTGAGGTGAAGAGGCTCTTGGTCCTAATGGGTTTGACCCAAGCCAGGACTCTTAGAGCCTGTACTCACGGAGCAGTGCTGTGTGTCCTTGCCCAGAATTCTGCCTTCTGCATTGTCAATAAAGCCTCCCCTTCGTGACCTAAACTCTGAGCTGTTCTTGCTGGGGAGGCAGCAAGTATGCTGGTGGAAAGGGAGGGTGGGGCTGGCAGCTGTCACCCCACATTCAAGAAGTACTGTGAGCCCTAGCAGGGAGTCCAGGAAAGGGAGCTGAGGCTGGCTCCTCCTCCCCCAGCTCAGGGGCACTTCCCCCTCCTCAGGTGACCTAGTACTGCCAGCAGTCTAGCTACCTCTTTTTTTTTTTTTTTTTTTTTTTTTGCATCCAGAAGGCCTTATAGCCCTGGGCCCTGCCTCCCTCCCAGGGATCTATTGGAAGGCAAGGTACCTAGGGAGAGGAACGGGGTCATTACAGGCATAAGGGTTGTGGTTGGGAGGTGAATTTTCCAGACATATGCCTGGGTCCAAATCCTGGCTGTAGCTATATGACTTAGGCCAAGTAACTCTCTGTCTCTGTTGCCTTATCTATGCTGACTGTATCTACTTCATAGAACTGTAGGTGTAAGTGAAAAGCATATGTAAATGTCAAAGTGCCTGGTCTGTAATAAGTGTTCAATAGTTAATTATGAGAAAACTGACCAAGCAAGCATTAAGAGAGAAAGTGTGTTTATGGTTTCCTGCAGTGATGCATTTCTTTGCTTGGTCTTACTTTCTACACGTGTCCCTTCCAGCTAAGGATTAGAGGGGTTGTGGCAACCTGTAGCCATATAAGTGGTCTTAGAAGGGTTATGATCATTTCCTCCCATATGAAGTCTCTTCAGTAGTTTCCCATTACTTTCTGGATCCAGGCTAGACTTCTTAGCCAGCCATTTCAGGACTTGACTCCTTTCTACCCTACATTCCACTGTTCTCTTGCCAGAATAATTTGCACCCTGATTCAGCCAGTTCCCTAACTATCTGTGTGTCCCCTCCTTGCACATAACTGAGGTTCTGACTTTCAAGCCTTTTGTTATGATTTCCCCTTTGCCTGACCTGCCCAGGCCTCATCTCTGCTAAAATCCATAGAAGTTCCGACCCAGTGATGTCTCCTCAAAGCCTTTCCTGGTTTCTCTGGAGAAAAACTGTCCTTTCCCTGAGCAGTCTCCTCTGCCTGTGTTTATGACCCCAAAGTTCATGGCTTCTTGGGATTAGGAATTGTGTCTGATTCAACATTGGGTCTGACACTGAGTAGGTACTGAGTGAAGGAATCGATGGATGCATGGTGGACAGATGAATGGATGATGTACAGAACCACAAGCCAGAGTCATTACTAAAAAGAAGCCTGCAGACTGGGCTGTGGTTGGATCAGTAAGGGTCTGTCACAGGCTGCCAAGAGAAAGCCAAGGGGTCCAGGAAGTTGCTGCTGCTTGTGTGAGCTATAAACTTTCTTCTTCCTCACCCACATAGTCCCTGGCACTGATTCCCTTCCTTGCAAAGCTGACCCATTTCTGGTTCAAAGAAGAGATTGAAAAGCTAGTCAGAGTTTGCCCGGAGTTTTGAGGGTCTGGCTTTTGGAACTTAATTTGGTCAAACCCTAAGGCCATGGGAGAGGCCAGAGTCACTAACAAGGAGCCCCTTGGTCACAGCATCTTTGGAGTCCCATCCAGAATAACTTTCCTCCAACCCCTTACAGACCTTAAGTGGCTGGTGACAGCCTGACATCTGCAGAACTGGGGTCTCAGCGCCACCTTCTGGCCACAAGGAAGACTTACATGATCCCGGAAAATTGGAGCTGCTGGTCCTTCCATTTCTGACCACTCTAAGGGAGATCCCCAGCCTTAAGGCTTAGATTAGAGAGAAGCCGGAAAGTTCCTCGATAGCTGGACTAAGCCATCCTTGCCCCCACATGATCAAAATATATAGTATAACTCGGGAGTTCCCAGGGCCTGTCTGAGTCCCAGATTTGAGACTGACAACAGGCTCAGCTATGTTAAATGACAGTACAGATTATGCCCCAAACACCCAGAATCAGAGGGGCCTCACAGATACTTTCTCTAAGCTACATGTATGGTGAACCCTCCCTCCTCCTCTTGCTTGCATAAGCCCTGGGCTCCTTGCCTTCCAGACTACTCTGTCCCCAGTCAGTGATGATGCAGCCCAAGGGGGCAGATCTTCTAAACCTCTGTCACCAACTCACATCAATGGTGTGACATGTCCCAGGCCTTAGTCCTGAGCTCCACAGGTTAGTGAAGTCAGGCTACCCACTTCTTGTTATGAAAACAACCTGATAGTCATAAGCTGGGCAAACATAAGTTCTTTTATTCCATTCCAATCTTAATTTCTAATATCTCTAACATTCAAATCATATACTTCACACAATGATGTATAGAGTGATCACAGAAAAACTAAGAAATAGTTAACATGGCTGCAGGATTCCAGAATGCTGAGCCAAGAGCACAAGCAAAGAGAGATAAGAAGGCAAAGATAGTCAATGTAGGTGGTCAGAAAAGGATTTTTTAAAATATTTTTATTAGAGCATCATAATTATATAGTAATTGGGTTAATTTTTACAAACTCATACATGCAAGGAATTTGATTTAAAGCCCAATTCCCCCGCTTCTCTCCTCTTATTCTCCCTTCTCTCCTTTATTAAACTACCTTTCTTCTATATATGCATAAAAGTAAAATTCCCTTTGGTATCTTTATATACAAATATAACATGATTTTGCTAAATTATTCTCATTTACCTTCTTCTTTCTCTTCCTTCTTCCCTGTCACTCTATATCTACTCCCCTGATCTTTGTATATCTACCAAAAGCATAGGACAGATAGTAGTTGTTTCCTTGTACAAAGAAAGTACAGAATCATTTTACCTTGGCAGTTGTCTCAAAATGGAGTAGCTTATGGAAAACTACTGCTTTCCAAAATGGATTAACTCAGGGTCAGGCACAGCCTGCAAACCACTATTCTGTATCTCATGAAGTAACTGAGATCAGAGCATAGCCTGCTCTTCACAGTGTAGGATGGAGCTGTCTGTGCAAGCTACCCCTGGACCCAGGCTGATCATAGCCTTCTCTTCCACTTTCAGTGGCGTCATTGCCATATGTCTGTCATGATAGCATCTGGATATCAGAGAAAGGCAAGAAATATGACAGTAATCACAAATATTGCAAGAAACATTTGAAAACCACTTTAGATCCAGTTTTTTCATTAGCTTAGATCCAACTAGGAGAATAAATCTCTTGAATCAGTCTTGGATAAGCGGTTTTTTTCATTGACTGATAGCTCTCCCTAACACATTTACAGTGAGAAGTATTTACTCTTGCAGATCTTGCCTTGGCAGGCCCATAAATACTTGATGGCAATGTGTTTTTCTAGAACCATTTTAACCAACACATTTACATTGGTCCCTTGGGCCTCTAACGCTTGTGCTATTTTATTTGCTATTTGGGCCATAGTTAGGGATTGAGTTTAGAAACTTCTAGTGAAGGTCAGGAATTCTCAGTCAAACCAGTAAGATCTAGTGGTAAGTCAATCCATTGAGGTACTAATAAAATATGAGCAAGTAGGGGAAGGAATTTCCCTGTCTCAGCCAGCAGTTTCTGTAGGTATGAGAATAATGCAGACCACACTGTTCAAAGACCTCATCAGGTTCAATTCACTGTGAGCCTCATATTATATGGAGAGACACAGGGAGGCTCCACAATGTGTCTCCCCAGCTTCACAAAGCAACACATGGAAATCAGATGGGAAAGTTCTTCCCCAACACATCGGAAAACACACAGAGACACACACAAAATACCCCAGCTTCAATCCTAAGAACAGCCCACAATCTTTCCTGTGATCAAGAACTCTAGGGCTGGGGATGTGGCTCAAGCGGTAGAGCACTCGCCTGGCATGTGCGGGGCGCTGGGTTCAATCCTCAGCACCACATAAAAAAAAAATTAAAAAAATAAAAATGTTGTGTCCACCGAAAACTAAAAAATAAATATTAAAAAAATTGGGGGCTGGGGATGTGGCTCAAGCGGTAGCACACTCGCCTGGCTTGCGTGCGGCCCAGGTTCAATCCTCAACGTCACATACAAACAAAGATGTTGTGTCTGCCGAAAACTAAAAAAAATAAATATTAAAAAATTCTCTCTCTCTCTCTCTCTCTCTCTCTCTCTCTT